CAGCCTACAAAATTGACCTTTTCTTGGAGCCGTGCTCTTAAGATCCAAACACAAAGACCTACAGGTATATTTAAAGAATGGCACCTTTGAATGCAAATAAGGCACTCATACTTTGGAAAATCTCATGAGGTAAACTATGCAAGTGGTAGTTTCCCTGTCGAGATCATAGCACTGGGATCTTGTTTGTTTCTGCTAGGATTTCTTTTGCCTACATATTGACAATCTGTTTCCTGAAGGTGTTGCTCCTTTTCAGTCTATATATCTGGATTATTTGATTGCCCCATAAATCGTAACTATTGTGGTAGAATTCAAGATTGTCACTAGAAAAATAAAATGGAAAAAAAGAACCAGTCCTTCTTGTTATCTAGGATATTGCTCTTCTAAGCTATAATAGAATGCCAGTAGAGTTTATAGATTTCTGGACTGAAAACTTTAAGAGAAATGTTTTGGCTTACTGAGAAAGAAGAAAGTAAATTTGAGCAGTAGCTTTTATGGCAAACACAGCTCTTCAATTTCTGCTCAGTTGATCTTAAAAGTGTTTGCAAGTGCAATGATAGGAAGATACTTGGTAGGAGTACATTAATAAGTCCTGCTGTGATGAATGGAGTGTGAAATCTCCTGGAGTTATGATGCAATTTAAAAAGGTCTTTTATGCTTTACAAATCACTTTGTTTTCCCAGGACTAAAGCCATTCTTGATTTGCATGTTGAGTTTCTATTACATTTAATTCACTACAAAGGGATGCCAAATTTTTTTCCTAGTATTTCTGCATTGTTTTTGGCTCAGACAGATTGCTTGTGTTTCATAACCAAGCTACAGTTCCAGTGAGGATTTATTTCAATGTTAGGTGTTGTCAGACTGGAGGTTTTATTGCTTTTCAACAAACTGGAAAGCAGCACATAACATGAATTAGTTATTTGTTAGAAATTAATTACATTCATTATTTGCTGTTGTAGTAAATCATAAGCCCAAATATAAATACTAAAAAATATATTTATATACATACATATATATATACACACGCACATATATACATATACACACACACACATTATATATATTGCAAACAAATTCTAAGATTATTGAGTTTATTCTGAAGGTAAATCCAATTTTCCTTTGAGGAGATGATTAAGAGCAGTGCTAGGTAAATGCAAATGTTTCCAAGGCTCTCAGCAAGCATGGTGGTTTTTGCATCTCACACAGGAACGTCAATGTCTTGCTGCACTCACAACACCTGAGAGGGTTGAATGCTTCACACAATGAAGCAAGATGCCTGTAGGAGCAGTCTCGGGAAATACTGGAGCCTCCTTTTCCATCACACGCTCATCAGCAGCTCAGATGAGTGGTTAGTTGAGCTTGCAGCTTCCTGTGACCCACCCAGTTACACCAAGACTCTAGTTTAATGACTTTCTAAAGAGCTTTCTCACCTGGACAACCGGTAATTAAGACACTGGAGAAGATCTCGTACAAGGGCAGCTCTGAGGAGAGAACTTTTATTCTTATCCTCTTCCAATACAGTCTAGAAAGTAAGCTAACATGGTGTTTAATAAAAGCATCACAACTTGGTCAGGGATAACACAAGGTATTGTGTATGAATGCAAAGGTTTCTTGAAACTGTCCTGCCTCAGAATTAGCACCAGCAGAGAAACAAACAAACACAGAAATAACCCACAAACATTTCTATTAACAGCGTGAAACAGAATATATGATATTTGTAACTGGAAAAAAAAACCCCACACTCGAAGCTCACAAACATTAGCAAAATGGTTGATTGGATGTTTGAGGGAAGGCAAAACAAAACAAAGCAAAGATGCATGGCTTTCTACAGAAAAATCCAGAAGTTATTCATAAAAATATTCAAGTATATAACTACAGAACTTGACACACAATCTGGCGGTAGAAAGATCTTGTCAAATGTTTTTGGGAAGTCAGCAATTAGAACTGGTTGGATAACTTTTATTTAAATTCACTTTTAATCTGACTTAAGGTCTGGAAGTGCTTTTTACTGAAAAATCAACACAAAAACTTTGTGTGATGTTCTGTCAAAATGTGCCATCACAGTACAATGAAGATATTTGCTGTCAGCTATTTAAGCCTCTGGAAATTTCAAAAAAAACCCCAAAAACATAGAATTATTTCTAGTTCCACATTTTCTTTTTTTTTTTTTTTTTTAATTTAAAAAGAAGATATTGACATAGATCTTCAGAGTAACTTGCAGCTAGATTTTTGTGAAACCAAAACTCCCTCTGAAATTTTAGACCATTTCTACTCTACCATTGAGCAGCGGCACCAACGGGAAGTGAATGGGTGAGAAGAGTAGGCATGTTCTTCCTTCCATCACTTGCTTTTGCATAAGAAAATAAATATGTTTTGGAGTTATTAGAAGCTGTTGAAGCTATAAAGACTTCAGAAAAAACAATTCCCAGTCAGAGCAATCCATTAGAACTGCTGAAAGCAGACCACCTACACACCACTTCTGGCAAAGAGGGAAAAGGAGGTTTTTTGGTACTTCAACAGATGAAAATAAAAAGAAGACTATTAGAAGTAAAAAGGCTATGAAACTGCAAAAATTCCAGAGGTTTTTTTAGAAACCATTTGTCCTCAGTTACAGATGAGGATATGTATTAGACTGTGGGTATCCTTTTTCATAGCCTTAAATACATAATGAGGTGCCCTTTAATGAGGTGTGCTGTGGATCCAGGAGTGCTTCTGCAAGCTCTCAAGCTCATCCCTCAAGGTGAGGGTTGCTGGAGTGAACATGAGACCGATGGAGAGCTGCTAATGACTGACTGAGCTGGTGTGTTTCTCCACAAGTTCTGAGATGAAGTTGCTCTATTCCCAAAACACTCCTTAGAAAACCAAAAACAAAGAACTGTGTGAGACTATTCCTGTTGTTCTCAGCAAGCTCAGTGCATCAGCCAAACTTCTTCATTACAGGAGGAGAATATGAGGGATGATTTAGAAAAGGGCCAAAAATTTGCAGTTATAATCTCCTGGCAGCTGCAGCACTGACTGGCAAACTTGCAGAAACAGAGATACATTGGATTTTAAGGCTGACAAGGTTGAGCACAACTTGTAAACACCATCTGCGAGATGTCCAAGTCATTGGTGTTGCAGAACATGGCCCTGATCCTGCATCGAAACAGAGCCTTGTTTCATCCTCTCCAATGTAGGCAACGCTAAATCATTTTGTAATGTAATAAATACAGTACAAATAAAAATAGCACCTGGCATTTCCCTGGATAAATGAAAGAATTTAGCATACAGCATGATGATGGTATTTCCATGACAGGCAAATGGAGCCTCCTAACTTGCAACTTGCCCAGAAGATAAATGGCAGTGTTGCCAAGAAATGGTTGCTATTACTAGAGATGGAAATGGAAGGCAGCTCTTTTCAGTGTGCTCTATTAAGATAATGGCTGCTAAAAATCTCTGCTTGTTTTTAATATTATGTTCATGCTTATTGAAATAAAAGGAACTTGACTTAAAGGGTCAGGAGATGCTGTCGCACCATCTCAGAGGCGTCTGCCAAGCCAAGTGAGAAAGACAATTTGGCCAGCTATTTGTCTGCTAGCTCACATTAAAGTCCTGCACCAGTGTCCCTGACATCCAGCTCCCAAATTTATGCCATGTCCTTGCTTGTAATTTGGAGATCTGTTGCTGCACTGATTACTGGGATGGATAATCACCCTCCATGGTTTATTGCTGCAATTCACTTGTTCAGTGCTGGTTACATGCCCCATTTCCCATGTCACCTTATTCTGTCAAAATAAACAGATCTTTGGCAATAGCTGTCCACGCTGGGGGTTGTGACAGCTCATGCTCACAGTTTGTTTCTCAACAGCCAAGCAGCATTATGGTGTTATATATTTAAGCATGTTTATGTGCTTAAAGGAACATTGCATCAGTCTTACAGATGTCATGGATAAGTCACACCGACATGGCTGGGATAAGAAACCCTCTGGGGCTTGCTCACCATTAATCCTCTTCGTACATTAGCTGGTTTTGTGTTTCCTTTGGGGTAGTCTGAGCTGTGTTTTGAGGATAGGCTTTCTGCTCCGGATAGCTATTCGTACACAAATGCATCCCCATATGCTTTCCAGCCATAATGCTGCTATGTGATGTTGATAGATCTTGGCAGCTAAATATATGGGTCATACAATAAATATGTGTGAGATCTAGCTGAAGAAATACTCTGTGTACAGGTAATAAAGAAACAGGTTTTGAATAAGGGTATTCAACTGCCTAGCTTAACTTTTGTGAAATCAGTGTTTGAAATGTGTATGTGTGTAAATGTGAACCTACATATATTTGTGTGTGTCAATGTGTGTGTGTATATATATATTTATGTATGTATGCACACATACACATGTGTACAGGTTTGTTTTAGGCTATTAAAAAAGTCTTTTTCCCAAATTAGGCTTTTAAAGCATTTGCTGGCAGGGCAGCATTATTTTGGCTATTTTATACCTTAGTCATCTCTCTGTGAGTGGCTTGACTTTAATTTCCTTTATCGTCAATGAAGAACCTGTTCAACATAGTCAAGAGTACATGGTAAGATTCATCTCATCTTTAAATAGTGGCCTAAAACAGGCTAGAGCTAGTTTTGCTCTAGAAATGCCTCTTTCTCCTAACTGACTGAGAAGGGAATCTCCAGTATTGAGCTGAGTTGTAAGTGCCTAAAATCAGTCTAGATGAATCCCAACCATATTGCTGACTTTGCTGCAGATTGCTGACTAAATCTTCCGTACACAGTAAAAACTTTAGGTTGAATTCTCCTCTGTATTGCATGTTAAATAGTTATTTGTGCATGCGTGAAATGAGGCTAACTCGCTATTCAAAAACTACTGTTTTTACTACACTTTTTTTAAGTTCTCGTTTGCTTTCCTTACCTGTGGAAAGTAAAAGGCACTATAGATTGGGCCCATGGGCTCCTTTTGGGGGCCGCAGACAAGAAAGAAGTATTTATTGAAGTTAACCAGTGTGCTCTGTCTTGCCAGTTCCCAGCCATCGTTGCTACCTTGGCAATGGTACCGAATACAGAGGTACTGTGAAGACGACAATTTCTGGACACAGATGCTTGCCCTGGAATTCAGATTTACTTTACCAAGAGTTTCACGTCAACAGTGTTGAAAAAGCAATTCTGTTAGGCCTGGGACCTTTCTCTTACTGCAGGTGAGGAAAGTTCTTGTTTGTCCTGTGTTTTGTCAGCTGAGAGGTGGATGTATTGAGGGAGCAGCAACTTTGGCAGGAAGGAGGGCCACCAGTATCCAAGCAAGTGTTCTCTTAGAAAAGTCAGACTTAGCAGCTTGACACAAGGAATGTATATGTGGAAAGACTGTACTGGGTAGATAGGCTGGATCAAAAGCTGGGTCTGCCAAGAGAAGGCTGGTCATCATTTCCCCATTTTTTTTTTCCAAATGGCACCATACCTCAAATATTTTGAAACTGTTCATCACTGTATATTCACAAGGGGAATGAAACTACCTGGACTGAAATGGTTAATTTTTTATTTCAAATTCTTAAGTTGCGAACTATGCAATAGGAAGGAAAAGAAAACTATTTTGAAAGTGAAAAGTTGTTTCAGAATGAGAAATCAAAACACTTTACTTACATAATGTCAAAATGGGACATCAAATTTCTTTCTCGGATTTCTGCCAAAGCTAAATTCTTGCAAAATACAATTTCACAGTCTTTTGATCTTGATGGATCTGCACAGATGAGAGATTACATTTTTACTCAAGCTTTCTGCACAATTATAATGAAAAGGTGGTATGTACACTTTTTCCTCTCATTTTATGCTCCCCCAGTCTCTGGGGGCCTCATAATATCAATGGATATCCATAAATAAAGGAAATGTTTCCATTTAGAGTAAATTCTGGAGATGAACAAATGTTGGAAAAGGCAAGGTTTAGATGCTTCTCCATAACTTACGAGCTGAACTGTATTTTGTGTGTATGTGGAAGGCAAACTAGTATTTCAGGAAAATCAGATTATAGTGCACTTCCTAATTTGTCTGGTGGTAAAAGGCATGAATGCTCAAAGAAGCTCCTCTTCTTTGTGATCTAAAACAAGCTAATGAACAGTTCCTATATCCTCTCTAAATCCAGACTGGCTTAGTTTCCAATGCTTGTGCCTGACTCAAGCGCTTAACTATGAGTTTCATAGTAACCCTGTAGAGCATGGCAATTTATGGGGCCCATATTTAGTGCTCTGATAAATCCTAATCCCCTCAGTTTGCACAATATTCCCTTGCAGATTTGAAATGCAAAGAATTAAATGTTGGAGCTGATGTTACCATATTCTGTAGAGTTGAGAAAAAAAAACTTCTCACTTTTGTCACTTTCTGGGGCGCTCTCTGCTATACTATATAATCCAGCAGAGATCTCCTTCTTCAAATAGTCTAATTTAGAAACATTGTTGGTGGAAGATGACTCAACCTGTTTTGCTGCTTCAGTTCACAAAATGTGAAATTGCTTTAATCTTTTTCTGAATAGCAATCAGATTGAAAAGGGAAAAAAAAAACCTTAAAATAACAGATACTGCTTCCAACTGAAAGTAGAATTACTGTTTATCTGGAGCCCTGAATTACCTTGTCTGTTTTTTTTGGTCATATTTAAGATCCTTCTGGGTCTTCAAAGTTTCCCTGAATTCTTGAGTTAGTAAAATGGGCAGATTTCTCATTACCTACCTTGCAGCACCAGTAAAGAGAGTTTTGCTATCCTATAGAAAAAGATAGTGGAAAAGACCCATTTTGCACAAAAGTAACGAAGAATTAAATTGATCTTTTTTTCTCCTTAAAATGCTATATGTAATATTTTCTGGAGGTAGTCTTGTACTTCCACAGATTGTCCAGGGAACATGAAGCCCGAGCATCTCAATTTTTTTTTTTTTTTGCTAGTTATTCCTCTTATGTATTCATTTTTTAATGAATTTACCTTGTTGGAATTTCCTCATTTTAAAAAATCATCTAAAAAAGGAATCTCCCCCATGATATTTAGTCCTGAAAATAGCTGATTTGAAATCTGCTAAATACTTCAGTGTGGGCTGCAGCTGAACCATGTGAACATTCCCATGCATCCAAATACTTGTAAGAAAATTGGTATTGAGTCATGTGTCTGCATTTTGGGTTCTGAAGAACCTTAGAAATCTGGCCTCTGACCAAATGCTTAACCAGCTTATGTCTAAGCATGAGTAACCCTATTGAAAGACTACTTACCCATGTAGGGGAGCTTCTTTAGGTCAGGTTCAGATGGCTCAGTGCTTGGCCACCCCGTTGGCCCTCTGCACAGTTCAAGAGAAATCACAGAAAACATCTGGGAAGTGGGGAACGACATTGTGGTTAACGCTTGTAATTCATTCTCCCCTTGAATTAATCAGAAATCCAGATGAGGATGAGAAACCGTGGTGTTACATCATGAAAGACAACAGTTTGTCTTGGGAATATTGTAATGTTCCATCTTGTGGTACGTAAACATCTTCTTAAAATCCATGTTATGAATTAATGAAGATTTACTAATACTACAACAAGTTTGCACTGTGGAATTTTGAATATTCCTTGGCCCTCAGTATGTTTAGTGTTTTGCTGTTTGCAGTAAATCAAAAGACAAAAGCAAACTGCTTCTGCGTTTCTGGTGTCATGACAAAACACGATTTTTTTTCTCCTGTACAGCAGTGTCACACTACCCGTTACAGTTCAGTGACCAAAATCATCCCAATATTACCAGAATTTCTGCCAGAACATGTAAACTTCAGAAATTAATGATGTTTTGATACAAGCTGCTCTTACTCAGAGAAGCAGGCTCAGAGAAGGGAATGGACCTCTGTGAGAGGGATGGATCCTGATGACATGTGGCATAAAGAATTCTGACTCCAAAAGCTCAAGAAGTCTGCTCTTTGCCTAGATGGATATTTAGCTGTTGTTAAAGCACGCCTTTGGAGTTGTAATCTGAAAAGTCAGTCCTTTTATTTCACATTTATATTTTAAATACATGAGTGATGACATTAAGTCAGTCATATTCATTCTTGACATCAGAATGGTAAAGCTCAGCCCAGCATGTGAAAATGAAGATGTGCTGTTTTGTGCATTGTGTCTCCATCACCAATAAAGGTTATATCTGTTCTGGTAAATGAAACAGTGCCTGATTTTATATTCCCTTGCACATTTAATTTATACAAATATACATGTAGCCAAAGTGTTTGGACGACACATAGATTTCAATCTTGCAGCTCTCCTGAGTGATACACAGTTGCATGTAAACATTTAATGACAATTTAATAAGTCTTTGTTTTAAAGACTCCTATGGAAGCTCCAGTCCTTAAAAATCTCTGAGATTTTTTTTTTCTGTTTGATACCATATCCTTTTATATTTCAGCAAGCAGGGAAAGGAGGCCACCAGCTCCAGATAATGTGGAAAATTTTGCAGTTGTTAGAAGACCATGTGGGAGAAGACACAAAAAAAGAAGTTTTGTGAGACCCAGGATTGTTGGGGGATCTTCATCTTTGCCTGGATCTCATCCCTGGACAGCAGCTATATACATTGGAGACAGTTTCTGTGGTGGAAGCCTTATTCAGACTTGCTGGGTGGTGTCAGCAGCACATTGCTTTGCTAACAGGTAAACTCCCCCATTAGCAGGTCCCCTCTTTACAGTCACAAACTGCTTTTAAATCACAACAAACCTGAATTGTGACAAAAGGGAAGAAGAAATTATGTTTCAAAGCAGTTACTGGCAACATGAGTGCCAAAATTCATAAACCAACCAATGCCCTGGAGACCTGTTCTCCTACTAGCTTTTAACTTGTTCCTTAAGGATCCTTGGTGAAGTTAAGTGATCTGATTAAAGGAATGAGGTAGTGCTGGGCCTAAGGAGGGCTGGGTACACACCAGTGTCTGTGGTGGGGTGGGAGGTGCAGTTACCTGACATGTTCATGCCTGCCCTGAGGTAGAACAGAGCTGCCAGAGGCCTCCTCTCCTTGCAGTGTTTTGTTCAGAAAGGCTGAAGCAGCCAAACAGTGATTTATTACAGACAATAAATTACTGCTGGTTAACAGAAATAGAGTGGCCTGGGTTTTTCCAAGTGCCAACTGGAAGATTTGAGCCCCTGCTGAATTTCAGCAGGATTTTGGAGACTAAGTTCTTAGTGAGATTTTTTTTTTCTCTCCAAGCTGTAGGACACTGGAGAAAACACCAACTGTAGGATGCTCTTATTTTATTCCAAATATTTCTTTTTCTCCACTTTTCCTGATTTCAGTTTGATCATTTTGATGGGAAAAAAATATATTACATCATTTCATACCCATTGTTCCTTTGCACTGTAAAGAAGCCAAGAGAAACAGAAAACCTCATGCCGGGCTACATACCCGGATAGCTGCTAGAACTAATAATACCCCAGTGAATGCTGTGCTCAGGCATTCGCAGCTCGAGCCACAATGCATTTGTTGTTCAAATGTTGTGAAATAGCTACTAACTTTGGCAGCTATTCAGGACATTTCCACCCACTTACAGCTGGTGGTTTCGTGCATACAGATTTTCCCTAATTGCTGTGCTATAATCTGCATTCTGCCGCTCGCTCGGGTAGTACCTCTGCGTTAGCCACAGTTTCAACTCTTTCCGCTAGGCGACAATAGATACCTGTGCAACTAACTTTTTGTTTTCTTCCCTTTTTGGAACCCCTCCTTAGTTTTTCCTCTCCGTTTTCCTCAGTGATTCACCATCACTTCGTAGAGCAGAGCAATGCTTTTACCTATGCTTTAACGCTTTACTATTCTAAGCTCTGTTCTGGGAGGCAACCTTCCACTTGGGTTTACAGGCCCCAAATAGTTTTCAAAGCTGCTTTTCCAAACTTCCTGATTTTCCCCAAATTTGCCTTTCTTCCTAGCTCTTCTACTGGTTCCTATTAGCTTTCCATCCTGGGATAGTGGATATAACAGTTCGGTGGTCTTTTTTAAAGTAAATCATCAACAATTGAAAAAACGATGAAAAAATGGCTGAAAAAAATACAAGAAAGAAAGAAAAAAATACCAGAATCTCCTCTGAATGTGTTTTTTTTCCCCACCAGATTAGCGTGCTGCTGAGACCTTTCTCTACCAAACTCTTTGTGATGCTAGACAGCAGATGTAACACAGATGAATTTAATTGCAGCACCAGAGAGCTGGCACCACTAGGTGGATGCTGTGCAGATGTTCCTGAGTTGTTAGTTTCCCAGATTCTAAAATCTTGACCATGACGGTAGTATCTTTAAAATCCCGTTTTCCTAGACAAATCCACCACTGGCTAGTTTTAGGTCTCTCGTCTTCCTTAATTTTTATATGTATTGGCAAAGCCTGGTCAAAATAGGTAAATAAGTTCCTGGTCTAAGAGGCGCTTACAGCCCCTACAGCACTTGCTCTGCGGGCAGCTTGGCAGAGGATATTTGGGTTGTTTCTTTCTACCAAGAAGCAGCAGCCTTCAGTTAGGTTGATCGGGACCCACAGAGTCTAGGCCTCCTTATAAAACTACTATTTTTTTCTTGGTTAGTAGTAGGTAGGCAGCCTAGGAGACAGGTCATTGTATTTTTAGAGGGTAATATAATGATGTGGTGGGGAGATGAGGTTGTTATAAGTCTTAGGGCTGCAGCAATTAAACAAGGATTGTATTTGTCCTGTTCATCACAGAATTGCTTGTTCTTTCTTTTGTATTATAGTCCACCAAAATCCACTATTAGAGTAGTTCTGGGTCAGCATATATTTAATAAAACGACTGATGTAACGCAAACATTTGAAATAGAGAAATACGTCTTACATCCTGAGTATTCTGTGTTCAGCCCTACTGACCATGATATTGGTGAGTATTTTTGTTCTTACAATACTATATCCTGTTTAGTCGACTTAATTTATTTCAGTTGTTCTGTTTCTGTTCAGGAAAAAAAATGGAGACATTAGGAGAGGCTTTTGATAGCAGAGGCTTCTTAGTTCCACCAGAATTACAGCAGCATCTGATAGCTAGACAAATTCAGATGAGAAATAAATTGCAAATTTTAAATAATTATGGTAATTAGCCATTGGAGCAATTTACCTAGATGTATGGCAGATTCATCATCACTTTAAGCCTTTGTGGGATTGGGCGTCTTTTTCAACTGAACCAAAAACCGTGGGCTTGATGCAGGAATTTCTCAGTAAAATGCTATTGTCTGTATTGTATAGAGGATCTGACTAGATGAATATAATAGCCCCATCTGCTCCAAAAAGCTATGTTACTAAGAATCTTCTTTTTTTTTCTGTACTGAAGAGAGAGATTTAAAAATCAGCTTCTTATCAGTCAGAAGTTAAATGCCCTTCTGATTGACCTTACAGCATAGTCAGAATGACTATAGAAGAGAAACCCACTTTGTTTTTCCTGATCTGCTCTTAGGGAAGCTGGCTTGTCTCCCCGGGGTATCGTGTGAGCACTCTGCCTTTGGGAGTATTTAATAGCCTGGCATCGGGGATATCTTAGGTCAGGAACATACTGTCTTTTTCTCTTGGATGGTGAATATTTCCAACTATATAGCAAAAATCCTTCAGATGCTGCATTTGTGGGAGGTATGTTGGAATAGCATGAATTGAACGTGATTTGAGGTGTTACTCTGCTCTGAACTATCCTGCTGTAAATCAAAGCTGGCGCTTTGAGATTCCCTGGCTCTTTTAATTGCTCTGAATTCTGGCCCGTCTCACAGATGTGCAGTGCCCAAGTGTGGGCTTATTGAAGGGGGAGACCCTAAGACGTGTTCCATTTGAAACTAATGCTCTGATCACAGGCAGAAATCTGAAGGAAAAGAAAAATAAGGAGGCACACGCTGCCCTGGCAGTGACATCCAATGCAACAGAAGATTTGCTTGGAGCTGAAACTTCTTTGCGAAGGGAAACCAGCCACCGCATGAGTGTTTGCTGGGAAGTAAAGAGGAAGGGGGCAGAACTGGCGAGGAAGGGAGAGGAGGTGAGGAAGAGCAAGCTGTTGGGTGCTGCAGTGCACCTTGCGTGGGCTCCTCACTTTGCGAGATGCTGTTTACACGTACGCAGCAGATCTTGTCAGCAGAGAAGTGAGCCTGTGCAGCAGCATCTCTTGCTGTCCACACAGCTGTGCTCAGAAAACCTCCAGCTTCTGAAAGCCGTGATACCAAGGCTGATGGACTTGGTGTTACCTCAGCTGGGCCACCTCTGAACAGGGTGTGTGTACAAATCAGACTACTGCCCTTGTTACCCCAAACACAAAGTCCCTTCATTTGCTCTTCAACCAAATACAAGCAGTTCTCTACAGAGGACAAGTGTTTCTGCTGCTTCTGATGTCCCCTTTCAGGGCAAGCTCATGATGCTGTGTAGCTCTATATAACACACACTTATTAGACTATACGCAGCTCCCTCCTCACGAGCTTGCCTGACCACTGGCCCATCCTTCCCCAGTGCAGGGAGGTGCAGTGGGCACATGTACAGGTTCAGGGTAAGTGCTGCATCTCCTASAAGGAACCAACTTGCTGAAATCATCTCTTGAGACATGCAGAGCTCTACCAAAATGTTTCAAATAATCCCTTGACCARTCAGGGCTGGGCCAGAGATTCTGCGGGTTTGGCTGGCTTTAGTCCTCCAAGCACAGAAGAAAGATTATGGAAGTAGCATGTCTGTCATTGATCATCTCTGTCATTTCCATGATCTCTGTCATTTCTAGAAGCTTGGTTTTGAAATATCCTAATTTTTCATTCCTTTTTTTTTTTTTCATTATTAACTTCAATTTTGCTGAACTCAGTGATAACAAGGAGTTTGAATTACATCAGCTCTTTYGGTAATTATTTTTTTAAAATCAAACTGGAATTAGGCATGTGGCCAGACTTCCAGAAACAGTGAACATTTACACATCTCTCTGATTTGAGCTGAAGCTGTGGATTTGTCACTGTTACTTAACTTGAAGGTAGGAGGAGGCATACATATTCTCTCTCTTCTCCCTTCTCCACAAAGGCAGTGAAGSAAAATCTACTCAGCGACTGCAGCATAAAACAAATATTCCCACAAGTGGAGGAGCTGAATGTTTCAGCCTTCAATTTACTGTGAAATCAGGTGCTGTTGAAATGAGTCTGTCTGTCTTTGACTGAAATATCTTAATTAAGAGAAGCTTAGGGGATAATTAAAGTTGTATCTGAGACCCATTGCTGCCAATCCCATTTGAAAAAAAAAAAAGAATAGTCTCTTTATTTCTCTTATATTTTCTGTTCTGCAGTTTTGATTAAGCTGAAGAAGAATGGCCAACGTTGTGCCGTCAAGTCCCAGTTTGTCCAGCCCATCTGCTTACCAGAAAGTAGCACCGTTTTCCCTGAGCAGCACAAATGTCAGATTTCCGGATGGGGACACAAGCACGAGAGTGAGTTAATGACAGAGTCAGTGTTGGGGGGAAACAAATGATGCTAAATAACACATTATGCTCAAGAATATGCTATACAATTTACAGTTGCAGAAAATACTTCGAAGAGACCTTCGTTGGGATTCATTTCACCTGCCTTTAGATGCTTACCATATTTATATCTGAAACYGTCATTCTGAAGATAACCTTAATTCTCATTGAAACTTGGAGCGTGGTTCATTTAACCAAATGTTTGCATCCATTTTAGGATGAGATGAGTTGTCAGCCCATTAGGTCTCGGTGGAGTGTGAGGGGAGCCCACAGTAAGTAGCTTAGTTGTAGGTACCAGTAGTGAGTCCTAGCCCTGGCTTCTCAGGGTGGATATCAGTGAGCACAAGCCAACCACAATCTACTTAAACAAAAAACTATGACAGGGGGAATCTTTACCTTCACCAGGCGGGAAACTCTGGAAACATCTTTTGGAGGAGGGCAGTTAGACCTCGGGTTAAGCAGTGCAACGTCAAGCTCAAGAAAGGTGAAAAGAAATACTGTTTCTCACCCATCCTTTTTTTTTTTTTTTTTTTTTTACCCTTCTCTGGAAATTTTTTAAAGATATATCTGGTTATTCACATATCCTGCAAGAAACTCTGATACCAATTATTTCTGAGGAAAAATGCAGAAGCCCTGAGGTTTATGGAACAGAAATCAATGAGAATATGTTCTGTGCTGGATACTTCGATAGCAAGACTGATGCTTGCCAGGTAATGCTGTAAATTCGCTGCCTGCAGTTRACTCATATGTATATTATCATAAGGTTTGTTGCAGTGTTACAGTACTGCCTTTTGGCATTACAGTGATATCTAACTCTTTAGCCCTGTTTCCTAAAGAAATGAAATAGATGCGACAGCAGCATTTGCTTCTACTGTTATTTTTTAACCCGCTTGGTGTCAACTAAGTTCCAGAGAAGGTCCAAGCCCTCCAAGACGTGATATTCCTCCTAGCTGTGTAGAAGCAGCTCTGCACGGGAGGCGCGTTGCCCGTGCGGGTGCCTGGAGATTGCAACGTGACAGCACCGCTCGGGGGCCAGCTGGCAGCGCGCGGAGCCGGCACCCGGAGCTGCTGCCTGCCTGGAAATAAGGATACCTGGGTGGGAGGTGTGGAGCAACAGGGGGTTCGGAGGAGGAAGGCGCTGGGGATATTATAGTGGTTTTAACAGGGTGGCATATTGGTCTGTTGGAAACTGCATTTCACGACTCCCACCCTTCATGGAACAGCCTCTTCTTACTGCTTGGCATCTCTTCTGCAGTTGTGTCATGCTCCRGCTCTCAGTGAGGCTCTTGAAACTAAGGATTAGGCTGTTACTTGGATAAACCTTCAATTGTCTCTGTAGTTGGTGTTGCTGGAGGAGAGTTGCACTCCTTTAGCAATAATTTGGGGAACTGCCAACACTTACCTAATCCTTGGCAGGGAGATTAAGTAAAGAATATGATGTGTGCTATGTGCTGGAACCCCCACAGCTATCCCAGGTGTCCCAAGAAAGGGGTCAGGAAGGAAATGGAAGCAGATAGCACTGGCTAAGGGTCTGCAGGCCAGGGCAAGAGCTGATTGCAGCTCCTGGCTGCAAGTGCTTGTRTCAGCTAAAGAACTGGAAACTGCCTCGCTTGCTCAGTCTTCACTGCTTTGCCAGCGAGTAATACAAGTATTCAGTATTACAGCTGGTTCCTATATTGCTGTATGGCTCCCTATCCTGAAGAAACAGTTTGTTGTTTCTCAAGAAAGGAAGGAGAGAGAAAGAGGGTGAGGAAGGAGGGAAGGGGGGAGAGAGCAGCTGTACAAGTGGTTTAAAGAAACTGCAAAATCTGAGAAACACTAATTTAGCATCATAGATGTTGCTGTAATGCAGTGCTCATGACCTGAAACCATTATTAGTCATTATTAGGTGAATCAAATTTCCTTTTTTTTTTTTTTTTCTTGGCAGCAGACGTGCACTGTGGTCTAAATAGGCAGAGTGTAGACCTCTTCATGCCACAGCAAATGCAGCTGACCTTTGAATTTTCTTGATGAGTGCTCAGGAGATTAATCTATAAACCATGTGTTATGTATACAAATATTTCAAACCAGTAGATACCAAGTAGTCAATGTGTTCTACCTGATYATTTTTAAAGATTTTTCTTGGTAAGAATTTTTTAAAATCAGTGAATTAATAAAGAAATTGCAATTCAGTGGTACTTCTGAGTTGTGGAGTAATAAGGTCCTGAGAAGTAAATTAATCTCAGAGACAAGATTGCTTATGATGTCTCTCATGTATCTCAGAAACCTCCTGCTATAGGGACAACACAATTTTTCCTCCTGTTTTGCTCTCAAAGGAATGTTTTTTTAAATGGGAAAATACAAAGTTCTTTATTTCAAGCAATTAGAAGGGTGGCTCCTTTTACCAGTGCTGCTTACTAAGCCGTGTTTTCATTTCTAATACTTCCATTTCAATAAAACATTAGTCTAAGAGGAAGAAAAAAAAATTAATGTCTTCTCAGAATGACTGCAGTTTGCAAATTCGTACTTGCTGTGATGTGTCAGAAAAAATTAGTATGGTCTTATCCTTGGTTTATGCTTTCAATGTCCTTCTAAATGTTCAGTAGCATCACATACAAAATTGAGCGTAGACCACATCAAACTGCAATATCACAGTTACACAGAAGTACATGTGTGTATGCAACAGCTCCCTGAACACCTTCATGGTCTCAGAGGGTTTCAATGCACTGAGCAACTATTCTGAATATTCTCTGCTCTAGGCAGCCCATCCATATGACAGTTTAAAGACTGGCTTACTCCCATTGAAACTGGGTGAATCCATGCCCTTCAGTAGGCAYCTGAGTCTAAGAGTGTTTCAAAAGTATATTTGGTAAAATCTGGTACTTTGATACTTCTGTTGATTGTGGAATAAAAAAATATCCCTATCATACTTGAGAAAGTTGGCATATGAAATTTTAAAAATGAATATGCAAACACTAGTAAGCTTGACTGTTAGAAATCACTATAATTTAATGTTTTTTTAATCACGTCTGTAATTCTATTTAATGCATGGCTAGAAGAAGGTAAGTTTTCTGAATTAGAATTCACATTGTAAAAGAAACAGAAGACTTTTCCAGTGAGTCTTCCCTTGGGACTTTGCCTAGCTGATCTTTTTCCAATTATTTTCTCTCAGATTAGATAATCTTCCCTTCTTTTTAACACAGGGAGATTCGGGTGGACCTCTGGCTTGTGAGGAAAATGAAATTTCTTACCTGTATGGAGTTATCAGCTGGGGAGATGGCTGTGGCAGAGTCAACAGACCTGGAGTATACACACGAGTGACCAACTACGTAAACTGGATTAATGAGCGGATAGCCCCCCGCAAAAGCGCAAGCTGAGCCCTTCAGCGAGCTGCCACTGCAAGCAACACGCAGGAGTCTTCCAGTTTCGCTAAGCTGGCATTAATATTTTATTGTAAAATAATATGAAAACTGTCATAGTAATTCTTTGAATTTTCAAAACTTATCCTTAAAAGTAGGCCTAATGCAGCTGATGTCACTCTCTCTGGTCTAGAATTGTGGGGCTGTGGATAGCTACATMTATGAGCCTGTCTTTATGTGGCCTCGTGGTACCAAAGCCACACTGATTGATCTCTGCCTGGTGGGCTACATAGAATGAGTTATTTGAGTGTTTTCGGCCAGTTTCTTATGAAGATACCAGACCTCATAGCCAGGCCATAACAACATTGTCCTCATAGTCTTAGCCAAGTTTCAGGAAATAAAATAAAAAAGAGGAATTGCCAGAATGAAATTCTCTTCCCCTTGGAAGYGATCCCTCAATGTTCATGCTGAGCGACACCAATGGAGTGATGCAGATCAAGCTGCTCCCCAGCTCACGGCAGCAAGCCAATTCTGGGGGAAAAGAAAAAACAGAGGATTTAGGCTTTGGTTCAACAAAACATGTTAGCACATTTTTATGTTCCACTGACACAAAATTAGGATGCTGTGCTTCAGGGCTCTGCTGGATCTGGTCTGCARTTTTCCAGCACGGTTAATGTAACACCTCCCAAGAGCAAGTTTACTGCAGAAATTGCTCTTTGATTGTCTGCAGAGATGACTGCAGACTCAGAGGAGCCTTTTGTTTGATAGTGCCAGCAGGATCTTCATGGGCTTCTTCTTTGTGGTGAATTATTTTGGTAGCCCAGAGAAACTCTGTTAAGGAAAAATAACCAAAAACTGAATTTGTGTGCGGACAAAGATTTAACAGTGTTAATCTACATAAATGATGTAAACTGGTTAATGAAAATGTTTGTGGTCTGTTTCTTGGAGTTTCTGTTGTATATGATTACAGTTGATATGTGAATCTCTCTGTAGGTTCTTCAATAGGTTGAGTGCTAGCGAAAAGAATCCAGACTCCTCTGTGCAGGAAAGTGTCTGAAAAACTCCTCCTAGGAGTGTATTTCAGCTAGGAGTGCCCAGGGTCATGTAAGTGCCACACAAAGTTCCAGGGTCAGCTGGGGCTGGATGCCAGGCCAGCATGAGGAGTGGTCCTTTGGGCCTGTCTCCTTGGCCGTTTGCACTGCGAGGTGGCTCCGTTCGCACCGTGAAAGGAGGGSCACCCTGTAAGAGAAGGGACTGAAGCTCCTCGTGGCAGATGTGCCCGCTCGGCAGGAAGGAGCCGCTTAGGCTTTCCTGGAAGGGATTCACTTGGAGCAACTTTGGTTGTGCCCTGCTAGTAGGTGTCAACACAAAGCAGGTGCCTTTCTGCGTGGCCATAGCTGTCCTGTGACTTCAGTTTCAGTTTGAAATTAATATCCATCCACACTATGAGTGCTTCCAGTGGTGGTTTTGTGCTGTGCATGTTCTGCCAGTCTCCTCCTGCAGAGAGGGTGACTGTCTGGTGAGACACTACTGCTAGGTTAGCAGTTCTGTTTGTAGAGTTTATTCTCGCTCTTGTTCTTAAAATGCATGCTGTTTATACAGTGTGTGCTGCAACAGCCACACAATCAATAAATTACCCTTTAAAAATATGTTGAATGTTCACAGATAAAAGTCTGCTTCCTGTCTTCAGGAGCCTGCGTGACAAATCTTCAGCTGGTCTTACGTGTTTGAAAGCATCAAATTTGCTTTGTGACTTCAAGAGCAGCCTGTTCACCCCTCCTTACTGCATTGACTGGGTGGAACTGAACCGCAGACCTTGAGGATCTGCTCTTTGGAGAGCAGCCTGTGTCAGACCCCCACATGGACGGGGATTAACAAACTCTGAAGGAGATTCTAAACTCTGGTTTAGGAGAAAGGCCAATTTCCAGGTTAAACGAGGGGTCCATCCCTAAGGGATACTGATCACATTCGTCTGTGGCACTCCAGCACTTTCTGCCTCCTGCCTCTCCTGTGGAACATTCCCCATGGTCATTTCATACCCACTTCTTCCCTCCATTTAAGTGCTTATTACTTTGGCTTCAATGAAAATCCAGCATAAGTTTACTAGGAAAAATTTGTCTGAGAGGAATTTTCCTRACATATATCTAGAAACTGAATTAGGATGCAAAACCAGTTGAACAAACATACCCAAAATTCATTATGAAATGCACTTAAAGGCAGTTTTATTAAATTATATGTTATTGCATGCAAACTGCCCAATTAAGAGAGAAATAAATGCAAATAGCTAAAAAAGGACCCTTCTATTATGCTGCCRAAAGAAAAAAATGCGCTATGGTGTGTTGTTAAAAAAATAGCTGAAGAAGTAATTACCATGAGATAAGATGCTGTAAGAGTATTTTTAGAAATAATGGACTCTAATTAAGCCATTGCTCATTGAAATAAATCCGAGGACATCATTAGCACATCTTACTCTATTAATTGCAGCAGCTCCGGGTGCCATGCAAGTGGGCTGTTATCTTGTGACAGTTGCGTTGCAAAGAGGAAAAAAAAAAGAAAGAAGGGGGAAAAAAAAGAGGGTATTTTTACCCGGGCGGCTCGATGGATGTCGCCGCGGGGGTGGTGACGGCACCGCCGGCTCCGAGGCGCGGGCCGGGGTGCTTGGGGGGCTCCGTTCCGCTGCCGGGGGCGGCGCGCTCCGCTCCGGGCTTTCGTGGCGCCCCGCGGCCGAGGGGGGCGCAGGACGCCCGGGCCGGGCGGCTGCAAAGCGCGGAGCTGGAGCGCGTGGGAGCGGGCGGGGGCAGTGCGGGGATCGCTGGGCTGGGGTCGCGCCCAAGGGAGCCGCGGGGCGAGGGCGGCGCCCGCCTGGCGGCCTGGGCTGCCCAAGCAAGTGAACCCCAAAACGCGCACAGTGAAAGAGCGCGGGAAACCAAAGTTGAGCAGTTTTCCCGGGACCCCCTTTTCCCGGCGGCAGCGGGCCGGGCCGGCCAGCCCCGGGGCGGGGGGCGCCGGGGAGCGCCGCGCCGCCCTGGCCGCGCGCCCGCCGCGCTCGCTGTGCCCGTGCGGGGCCCTAATAAAGCTATTTTGAAAGTGACCCCTCGGCCAGAGCGCGGGGAGGGAGCAGCGAGCCGGGCGCAGCTGTCCGGAATCATGACTGAAGATGACGGATTCCGTGGTGGCGGAGGGTCACGTCAAGTTGAGAGATGGAAAAAAGGTGCCCGCTCGCGGCGCCAGCCCGCTGCGGGCCGGCGTGGAGGGACCCTCGGCGGCGGCGCCGCCGCGGGAGCCCGCCCGGCCCCGGCTAACACTCTCCTTTTGCCTCTCGTTGCAGTGGAAGAGTAGGTGGCTGGTGCTGCGCAAGCCGTCCCCCGTGGCAGGTAAGAGCGGCGGCCGGGGCGGCCCTTTCCCCGCTGCCCCCTCTCGCCGCCTCCGCCCGGCCGGAGGGAGACGCAGCTCGGGGCCCCGGAGAAGAGTTTGTCCCGGCCGAGTTTACACGAAGCCCCGTCGAGCTTGGGTGTCGCGGGAGGAGGGCGCCCCTYGCCCTCGGCGGGGCTCCCCTCCGGCCATCGCTGCTCTTTACCCCTTTTCTTTAAAAACCTAAAAAGGGAGACGGGAAGATGACGGGCTCAGGGAGCAACAGGCCAGGCAGCCAAAAATAGAGGCTCCCTAAGGAGCCCCGAAGTGTAACGGGCGCGCAGAGAGCGCGAGCGGCGCCGCGGGGCTTCATGTTTCCTGCGCCCGCGGCGCTGCGGCCGTTAACGGCTGCTGCGCGGGGCTGCGCCGCCCCCCACCCGCCGTGGTAACCGCCGCCCCCAAAATGGCGGGGCGGCTTTCCCCGGCCCCCCCCAAAATGGCGGGGGGCTGCGGGTTCCCGGTGCCTCCTTGTCCCCGGTGCCAGCCTGTCCCCGCCGCCCCTTCCCACCGCTGCGGCACGAGGGGCTTCCTCGCGGCCAAGCGCCGCCCGCCGCCACCCGCGGCTCTAAATCCCGGCCTCGGGGGCGAGGGATTTCGTAGCCGCGAGCTGTACCCGTTGGGCCTTCTGGGCAGAGATGTGAAGTAAAACAGCCCCAAAGAGATGTGCCAAGGCGCAGTTACTCTTCCTTGCTCCCCCCCCCCCCCAAACGTTAATGCTGGGCTCTTTATTTTTTCTAGGGTGGCTTTAGAAACCAGACATCTTAATCTTGGCGGTTACTTTGAATTGGTGTTTGGACATAAAACATGTCAGTTAAAAAAAAAAAAACGACATTTTTGAATTGAAAACTCATTTTTTTTTTCATGGTTTTGAGGGCGAAATTGAAGATGTTATTGACAGGGCGAAAAAGCAGGTTTCAAGAAACCCATCTGTTTGTAAAGGAGGAAAATATTTGCCCTGTAAAGTAGGTGTTTTCAGGGCTAACTGTGGATCTGCATTGCTCCACAGTGGGTTATGCAATTGTTTCTAGGCCGTTGCTGGAATGCTTAGTATATTTTTTTTAATAGTTAAACCTCCAGTCCAACTCCATGTTACTTGGGTTGTTATAATTAACTTGCTAGCATTTTACATGTTTATTTTAAGGTATATCTTGACTGAATTTCTTGAACTTCCTTCTCTGAATGAGCATATGTTGGCCCTCGTGTTACTGCTTAGCCATGTGAGTATGGGCCTGGATTTCTAGCATGAGGAAACAAAGTTTACAGGGAAGAAGATGGAGGAACTTCATTTGAAAATCTGAGAATATAGCGTATTCTAGAGAAATGCCATTTTCATTATAGCCATTTGAATTAGCCCATGCTAGCTGACCCCCTCTCAGCGTTTTGCTAATTTGCTCTATAAACCTTAGTTTTTCTTTCTTCAGACACAGCTGTGTTATGGAATCCTTAAATATCATAGTTGCAGCTGTTTCTGCTAACAGGTGCAAGCAAACAATTGGGAATGCAGGCAGAATTTTGCTGGAGTTAACAGCCAGTTCAATCCTTTAGTCGTTTTTCACCTCTTTGGAGATTTGCCAGCTTTTTTTTCTCAGCAGAGGCCCCTTGCCAAGGCTCGGAGCCCCCTACAAGATCCCTGAAATGGAGCATGGGAGGAGACTTTCTTTGCAATGTTTAAATCGGCTTAAGCAATGGATGCTAAAGCTTCAATTTTTATTATTGATTTCAGTTAGAATTCATAGAAAGATAACCTGGAAGCAGATGCTGTTGTTAGCACATGTAAAAGGTGGAGGAGTGCTTTTTTTTTCTCTCTTTTTTTTTTTTTCCTCTTTCCTTCCCCTTGTCCTTTGGGTTTGCTCATGAAATGTGCATTTCCCATGTCATGCTGACATTTGGATTACTTCTTTTTCTGCTGCATAGTTACTGGGCAATAAACACCTCCAGGAGGGGTTAAGAACAAGTGGGCACA